GGGGGGGGGCAACAGTGGGAGGGCTTCTGGAGTTCTGGCCCCACTGCTGGACCTCCTGATGGCACCTGGTATTTTTGGCCACTGTGTGACAGAGTGTTGGACTAGATGGGCCACTGGCCTGACCCAACATTGGCTTCTCTTATGTTCTTATGGGGTGGGGTGGTGGGGCAGGGGCAGTGGGCGTGGCTGCCAGGTGACGGGGCATAGCCCCAAAATGCCCCACCAGGGCTACATGCCTGTTTGCGCAGCAGCCTCACGTGTAAGATTGTTCTCGGTGTAATTTCGCTTTGCCGCCTGTCTCTCTCCACCTCAGACGATCGAATTTGATGAAGGTGCCGGTGCCGTCTTGAGGATCCAGCCCCTCCGCACCCCCAGAGACGAGAACATCTACGAATGCATTGCCCAGAATTCGGTTGCCGAGATCACCGTCACGGCCAAACTCACTGTCCTGAGAGGTAAATCCTGCCAGCGAGGAGCAGATCTGTTTCTCTCTCCCGTCAGTCCTAAATGTGCTTGCTTAGGAGAGTCGGAGAACTCAGTGGGATTGACCTCTGGCCTAAATCTGCCTAAGTTGCGTGATGGCCATTCCTGGATTGGGGATTTGGGCATTCGCGTGGCGTAGCGCTTAGAGCTAGGCTCTGAAGAGGTGGCACAGAAATATCATCAATGACTACATACATAGAGTGCTGGACTAGGATGTAGGAAACCCAGGTTCGAATCACCACTCTGCCATGGATACTTGCTGGGTGACTGTGGGCTAGTCACATGCTCGCAGCCTAACCTACCTCACAAGATTGGTTTTTTAAAAAAAAGTCTTTTTATTAGTTTTTAACAATAAACAGATTTCAGTAAGATTATACATCCAACAGTTCTGGCAAGATGTATTGAGCCAGATTAAACTCATCACCGGACATGACACACCATTCGATCCAGCAATCTTGTTCCTGGACTTATGGAATCCTAAAGACATACCATCCCTCACAAGATTGTTTTGAGAGTAAATGTAGGAAAAGTTAGATGCTCCCCATTTCTCTTCGGGCTTGCCAG